TCGCCTCTGCTGCCCTCCAGCTCGCCTGGTTCGCCGTTTTGGACGGCGCTTCCCAAGATCTAGAGGGCCTGGCTGGGAAGGGGGGAGTGTGGCAAGCTGGAGGCACGGCCACAGGGCTAGTGCACGGCCCGCTCACTGCTGGAGGTGACGAGGAAGGGAAACCAGGCACCCTGAGCCGAAAATCTTCTGAAACGGTGAGAGTGGGACTTGTTGCTTCCCACTGGACAAACAGCACCCTCCTGCGCCTGCCTTCTATACTCCTCTGACCTGCCTTAACTGTAACTGAGCAAAACGATCGGGGTTTTCTTTAGGATAATTAAAAGCCATCAGCCACCACCCGTCACGGGCAGGGGATAACTACAAGGAACAGGACTTTGCTTTGCTCTGTGGCTGCCTTAACTCCCCCTGGGGAGACAGGCCAAGGAAGGGGCATGGCAGCGGCCAAGGCAGGGCACCCCCTGCCCCTCCCCACCCCCCCGGGGAGTTAATGCAGCGCATCAGGCACTCTGGAGCCAGCACAAGTGGAACGTGACGGCACCGTGCCGCCTCTTTGCTTAGTTTTGCCCCGAGATTCGTTAGATAAGTACCTCAGTGTCATGATGTGCCCATTGGCACAAAAGCACGCCAGACAGACGCTGTTACAGAGGGTGACCACATCTGCTCGCAATAAAAAGGACGTTTCGGTGATGTTGTGGACATAAAGACATGTTTGGGAAGGCAATGAGAAGACTTTGGCTTGTTTTTCTGAACAAATGACTGCAAATTGATGATCACCCATATCCTGGGAGGAGGAAGGGGAATGCATGACAAGTTTCCTTTTCCTTGTTTTTTCACCGTCATCAGCACTGTGTGGGTCCCTCCATACTTCATACGGCGGGTGTGTCAACGTCCCCACGCAGTCCAAGCAGGCGAAGGTCAGCACGGCCCCTTTCAGGGTCAGAACGGTGCCTGAAAAAAACCAGAAGTTCCTCTCACCGACCCCGCCGTTGCGCCGGCTGTCAGCGCTGCGGAGGCGGGCAGCCCGGCTGGCATTCCCTAAATGGAGCCAAGGCCTTCATCCAGCCAGGAGGACAGGTCTGCCTTGCTCAGTTCTTCCTGATCCCACAAGGTGGGCAGACAGGCTGCCAGCACTGGAAAGGTCTCGGGCAGCCTATACCAAATAATCCATAATAGACACGCGGTTGAATGCCACGTAGGCAGGCTGTTGCTCTCTCTGCGTTGTACCAGTTGGATGTTGATTCCCCAGCACTAAAACTGCTCTTCTTACTCCGGTGACCTCCCAGCATTGTTTTTCTAAACAAACGGGGGGTGGGAAACCTTTGTTCCTCCTGCGCGTTCTCTGATTCTTGGAGTTATTTTACTTCAAACGTGCTCAGCGCATACTGCCTCTCCTCAGTCCTGACCTCCCCCAGCCCTCTGTTCTCCCTGCTACACCATCTGTCACTCTCTCAGCCAAGGATCTCTCCCGGTACATCGACCTGCCAACAATTTCGCTTCCTTCCCTGAACTCCCCTTCTGCTTCCCCGCAGCTTTCCGAGCGTGAGACAGCCAAACAGCTCCCAGCATCCCAGAGAGGACGGCAGCAGAGCTGTCGTTTCACGCTAGGAAGGAACCCCGCTGCTTTCCCTGCCCTCACGAGAAACAGCTAGCTGATGACACAAGGGGATCTTGGGAGCTAACGCAGCCGAAGCGTCCCAGTTCACGGAGCTGCGGGTCTCCCACGAGCATCTTCCTTTACCTGTGCGCCCCGTGTAGTGCGTGACGGCTGCCTGACGCCTGCGGGGAGAAATTGCCGCCCCAAAGGCCATACAAAATCACACGGGCATTCCCCCGTTGTACCGGGATGGAAAGTAGACAGGAAAAGAGCTGGACCCTTACCGCTCGGCGACACCATGACTGGCTCTGACTGCCGTAAGTCGTCACTAGCGGGCAGGTTAAGGGAGAGGATTAAGACCATACCGAGGCCCGTTCCGACCCAGAGGCAGGGGGAGACCGCGGTGTCATTCTTTCGGGCAAAGGACTCCATGAAGTACAGAGCAGTAATTGCCTCCTTGGAGTCCCTGTCGATACTGGACACGCTGGAGCTTCGGGAACGACTGAAGGAGTTTTCCCTATTTTCTGTATAAATAAATACAAGCAAAGAGGCATAAATCGGCAATCCTGGCACCGGCCCGAGCCTGCAAACATGAACTCCCTGTGGAGCACGGGAAGGCCAGGGTTTTCGTAACCTGGGCCAACATTCCGACACTAGCGCGCTACCAGCTCGCTGCCAGGGTATAAGTGAGCGTGGAAAAATGCTGTCAGACCTCATCAGTTAGATCTGCGTTAGAAATAGCTGCTTATTATGGAGATTAGCATAGACTAATTAGAATTTACAACAGCCTGAGCTCAAAGGACTTGTTCTAAATAGCACGAAATAATTTTAGACCCGTATGTTACCGATGCATTTAAAATGAATCCGTGTATCTCGTTGCTGCAGGACATGAAGGGAGATGCCGTTACCAACTTCAGAGCACGTCTCCGTTGCTCTGCTCTTGTTCCCATCGCCGGGATGTTCTAGTGCTGCATTCACGGCCGTCGTCTGCTGCCAAGCTATTCATAACTGCTCTCGGGGGAAAAGACACCCCTTGCTAAGCTGATCCCAGCGTCCGACACGTCGCAGGCTACGCCTCAATTCCGGCTTCCCAGGGACTGAGGCGAGAGACCTGCTCTGTCTCCTGGCAGCACCCACACGGTGAGCCAGCTCTGGAACAGCGGGAACAGCGCCAGCCAGCTGGAGACAGTCTCACCCTCTCCGCAAACACCCAGGTATGCAGGCACGCTCTGAACTTCGCAGGGAGAAGTAACCACGAGCGGGGTCGGAGGGCTGTGGGGCTCGAAGATCTCTGCTTTGCTTCACCTCGGGCCAGGCAGGAAGCACAAAGCCGTGCGAGGGAGCTCCTGGCTTTAGCGGGAGCTGCCGGTGCAACCCATGGGAGCTGTAAAGCGCACTGGGGTCTCCAAAGGGTACAGGGGGAGGGGGGAAGAAGAGAGCAGGGCTGGCTGCTAGCACAAAACTGTGTGTGCCAGTGCTGCTCTCCCCCAGCCTGGAGTCAAAAGTAGGGCTGGACCACCAGAAACCTCACGTGCCCTTCTGCATCAATAACAACTAGAGGACCAGGAAGGTGTGGAGGTGGAGCAATAGCAGAAAGTACTGGACCTGAGATAAAAGGCTCACTTCTGAGCCTGCCATTATGACGCAGATCCCTGTTCGGGGTGAAATTACCCTTCTCGCTCAGAAGAGAGAGCTGTCTCTTCGGAGGCAGCAGAGATGTTTACACACCTTCCCTTAGGCAGAGGAATACTTTCTGCCATAGCTGAAGAGCAAACTTAGAAAAGGCCTTTCTCCCATACTCCAACTTAAAACGGGGCTGAGCCTCATACTGCCTCTCTGGTTCCCGCTCCCCCCCAGAAGCAGCAGTTTCGCTGGTGAACCTCTTCCCAGGCAGGGTGCTGCAGGGTGCTGTGTTCCCCTACCCCTGCAACTCAGCTGAAAGCAAGCTGCTGAAACCGTCCTCTGCACAGCAGCCAGCTGGGAAAAGCCGGAGAGACCCACGGCAAAGCAGGCCCGGAGCCGCAGCAAGCGCTGCTACGTACGCTGCCTTCGAAGCCGGCACGCAGGGACGGAGGGAGGTTCTCCTGCTACTCTTTCACACTTGGACCAGCTCCTGTTCTTCGAGGGCACCCACAAGTTGTCCCACAGGAGCTTCCCAGGATGGCCATCCCTGACACTTCAGTCCCGCTCTCAGGGCAGAGAAACTTGTGTCTGCCTGACCTTCCGAGCACTGCCCTCAGCCCGTTTCACCTCCACGTGGGCACTGCTGGCGCAGTCCTGCTACGTATGTCTGCATCCAACGGGGGTTGTTGAGTCACGTGCAAACACAGCTCCCAACACCTTGAGGATTAGTGTCTCCCGTAACCCCCAGCACCTTGTACTTCTCCTGGCTGGCCCAGCTCCTTCCTAAGGACAGTGGCAGCTGCCAGGTGAAGAAGGGGAAGACAGCAATTTCAAGGCAGAGATCATCAGGGCTCCACATATATGTATATATATTTTTTCCCCCCAAATGGTACCTAATTAAAAAAAAAGTTATCATGAAATTCATTTTCTCTTTAACAGGTGTATTAATATCACAGTCTCATAAAATTCAAATATGGTGGTGCTCAAACTGAGAGAGATACTGAAAGGACAAATGCAGTTAGTGTAGGCGACATGCACAGAACTTAAAATATATGATGTGCCATTTGCATGTGTCATCAAGCTTTCTCCCTCCCTAAATTAACAAGAAATGTTCCTCACTCCTATGCAGTACAGTTAACTAATACATCTTCGCAGAACTGACACTAACAGATACGGCCTTTGGGACACTTGGGAACATACTGTGCCGTTTTCTATTCAATACACAAACTGAAATTCTAAAGACCAGCATGACACGTGTCAAAATCTGATGTCATTAAACGTATCTGTACAGCAACCCAAAACCTAGGAAAGGCTGCAGTCACTGTGGGGCTTCATTGGCTGCCTCTAAAGCAAGGTAGAAATCTCTCCTCTTCCTTGATTTCAGGATAGAATTTAGCTTAGGCCTATTCTCTGGGACTCCTTTCTCAGTGAGTTTATCCCCCAGGTTTGCTATTTAGAAACCATTCCACTGCATCCTAAAGAATCATAGAAGCACTTCCTTTGGGAAACTAAAAAACTTGACATGTCCTTTCCTAGCACGACTGCTTTAAAGCGATGTCCCACCCTCTAAAAGTTGTACTGCCGATCTGTAGCAAACAAACCCGTAACCCCACCGCCATATTCTGGGCTTTCTCTCACATTTCCCTTTTCTTGCACCGCGTGATGGGTGTAGCAAGACCGTGAGCTGCATCATCTTTCTGCGTGCGTCGGGACCAGGCCCGCTTCCAGGGACTCCTGTAACCTACGTCAAAAAGGGTTTATTCACACTCCCTGCTTCCGTATGGGGACAGGATGATCCCACAGGAAAGGTGGGTACTTTCCTGCTCCTCAGCTCTCTTCCATACTGGGAAGTATGGTGCTTTCCTGCTCCTCAGCTCTCTTCCCCCCTGCAGAACATCCTCTAAATTGCCTCCCGCTTTGATGGAGTCCATTATTCCCTTTTCTCCGAGAGACACGTATCCGACTCCCAGGATCCCTCTGCTCCCACCCATCCAGATGACCATGTCCTTTTTCCTCCTTTTCCTCTTGCAGACCTGGATTTCTCAGCTCTTCCTTTTTTTCCAAATAGGTTTCCAGGCTGTTCCTGCAGCCAGCAGGGAGGAGCTGAGAGCACCATCAGAGGGGCCCAGTGTCCCCGGGAGCTAAGGGGTGACTGTCATTGGGGAGACGCTGCCATTCCGGCTGTTGGACTGTGAGCAGCTCTGAGCAACAGCAGTATTACGGGCAGTCAGCGCGTTTCAGAAAGCTGCGTTCCGTGGGTTAAGGCCACGCCGTATAAATGCCACTGCTCTCCCCAGCAGTAGCCCCTGCTTGCTGTCATTCAGCCCTGCTCTACGCATGGTTTGGGTTTCTGAGATGCAGGGGGACACGCAGGAGCTGACTTCCTTCGTAACACGGGGCCGACTGTTGATTTCCAGCTATGAGCAGCAGCGTGCTAATAGGAGGCTTCTGATTCAAAAGCAGCTGCAAACCCTCTAACTCGCTGACAGAAACACACAGGACACTTCAACTCACATGCCAGGATAACAACGAAGCCAGTGTTTTGGAGTCTTACCTTTGTTCATCCATGTGTGAGCAGTATAGTGACGCTCGTCGTGTGAGAATGAACTGATTCCGTGTAATTGCTGAAGCATAGCCCGTCTGGGAGTGTGACCTACTGCCACAACATCGCATGCATTGCAAAAGGACAAGAACAATTGAGCCAACCGTCATCATGACATGTATACGAAAGCAGCCCCCAGCAGTTCCTGCCCTAGCTCCTTCCTTGCATGACAGAGCTGTCCCGTTGCAGTGCACTGGGGTCCAGGAGAAGAGTTAGTTTAGGAATTGGGGGTTTTCTGAGAATTTAAAAGGTAATTGGAGCAAATGACTCCATCTAATCCGACTGTCACTTTGACAGAGCAGTCACAGAGATTCCTTTAAAATTCCTTTTGTTTAGTGGAAGTGAAACTGGCATTTCCTTGCTTTCCCATGGAATTAAAAAAGAAAAAAAAAAAAGGAAGGAGGTTACTAATGACAATTTTTATGCCACTGACATGCGTCTTCAGGAGAATGTTCCAACTTCTCTATTCTCGACTGCAGCAAAGCTTTGTAAGGGGAACACATCCTCACCTCTCTTCCAATAAACTGTCATTGCGATTATTCTAAAATAATGGATTTAGCACTAAGACAGAAGCATAAAGTCATTTTCTTCCTGAAGTTAGGAATCACAAAAGCAAAAGCATCACTTGTTATGAGGAACAAAAAAAAACTACAGGTGACAAAGATTGACATTTTCAGGGCGAATGTTTGCCTTCATGGAAGAGAGAGTTTCAGAAATGACTGTTGGTGTCTTGGGTGCTACTTATAGGCCCTTTCCTGGGTTTAACATATCGAGTAATTGATCTGCTCATCAAACATATACAAAAATTGACCTTTTTCTGATTTCTGATACGAAAATCAATATATTCTGGAAACAAGGTTAGATGGTTTGTATTCTCCTCACTTGGAGATTTCTAGAAGCTGAATCCCAAATATCAGGTGTAACAGAAGCTAACGAAACTATCAAAACATTTCCCAGTTTAAGGATCATCATCATCAGATTTGAAGAGAAATCTGTCACTTTCGAAGCTGTATAGTCAGGACAGCATGCAAAGCTCTGAATGCCCGTGTAAACGTACAGGAAAGGAATGACACCTCAGACGTGAACCTGCACACAGCAACATCATAACGAGACAGGGACGGAGCTGTGTCACGGGCAGCAGCGCTTCAGCAACACAGCGGAGGAAGGGGCAGGAGGGAACACCGCAGGGCTTTCGCACGTTTACTCAGCCGAAAACACCCACCTCCAAACACGTTTTAGTGGCGCTACTCTAAAGCTGCATTCCACACGAGGCAGTTCACTAGAAAGCAGCAGAGGTTG